TCAGACACTTCTTTCGTTCGAAAGTTATTTAAGAGTGGTTGTAAACATAGCCCTCATTTGGTGGTTTTGCGTTCAAATTTCCTGGGGTCAAGAGTCGGGAAAACATCCATTGCCGTCAATTCATCACATATCAGTAAAGAATTTTGACTACATTGCAGAACGAGAAAATAAAATCTGACGTCAACTGTTGAGAATGGTAAATTCTGACCCGAACCGGAAAAGTTTTTAAATACAACAGTGCAAAATTGGAATCCACCTGCAATTTCCGTCTGCGGTGATCGCGACATGACTCCATAGCACTGTACTGTGAATAAACCGCTGTGTCATATCTTACCGGTAGATGGCGTTCACAACTCGCCTGCAGATGGTAAGAGGGACACTGATTAAAATCAATCAATCAAACATTTAATTGCCAGAAGTAACAGGCAGACGTAACAAACGTAACAGACCAGTGCTTACGTGAACCACCCACGATCTGATGGTGGTGAGGACTAGGGAGTCTAGCAATCCTCTCGTATATAACAATAAAATCATTACTAACTTTGCATTTTTCTAAATGCATAGGCTGATAAGTGAAAGTACCTCGAAAGATCTTCAAGCCGAGACACCTGGAACGTTGACTCAGATTGAGGAGTATAAAAAGTGAGATAATGCAGTTGCTTCTGCTGATATACGTTTTTACTCGTCAAACAATGCTTGTGTAAGTATTGTATTGCAATCTCTGAATTGAAGCCATTATTTACAACTTGTAAACATTATCAGCTTTAAATGTTGCTCAAATATAAAGTCCGGAACTCTTGATACAAAATCTGGCCCGTTGGATAACAAGAAATGCAAAATAAATGAGAAATGAGATTCTAATAATATTTCCTACTTTTGCTTCGCTGTACCTCTTGGCAACCTGTCATTTAGTGTTTTTTACGTAATTTGGTCAAAGAAATTTCAGTTTTCAAAGTTGAAGAAATATCTTAGCGGGTCACAATCGCATATGCTGTAAGGCTGTACAGTGTAAGCGAAAAAACTCTGAACTATCACTTGATACTTGACTGATATTTGGAAAGTGTATACGAATGTGTGTTTCAGGATTTGTTTTTAAAAGCGAAAAAAACTTGTAACTATTTCGATTTGGTTTATCAATTTATTAATTTTTAGGCTATGACCAATAATATCTCTCTAATCTGATATATATATAGTTTGTAATCCACCATTCCGATATAGGCGGTATACTTCATTTAAATATATTTCTAATTCAATGGACGCGTAAATAATTTCTAACGCTTATTAGTACCATGTCAAAGTCAGTAAATTACTTGATGTATGATGTATCAGTTTGTGTTGCATTCATTTCTTGTTTAAGTTTAGCGTAAAATGTATACACCACTTATGAGATGTTCTCGTTGGATTCACTTTTGTGCTTGTTCAGCGTGATATGTTTACGCCATTTATAATAGGTTTCAGTTTCAGTTTGAAAATAATGACCTAGCATGCTTGGAATAATATTTTGCCGTATTTGCCACTTTATGGCTTTTTCCACTGCTACTATGTGTATGTCGCCGGCATGTATTATCAGTTTATTGTTAAAACATCTTAGTAGTAGATAATTCAACTTTTGAAACTTTCCATCACTTTTTATCTCCCCCCAACCACCCCATTCAATCACAAACAAACACACTAATATATGAATGCTCACGTTCTCTAATAAAATTTTGTTTATGGGGCTCATTCATCTTTATCAATGCATTCACCATTTATTGGGTAAATTTTAAAAAATTCCAGCGTTATCGAGCAATGAATGAAAACAGAAGAATTATTGATATTAGTGGGGGGGAGGACCCCAACTTTTTTTTTTTTTTGGTAAAGGCTTTGCTCGAGCAGCTTTATATGTATGAAGTAGCAATGTGGAAAGTGTCGATATCTTTCGTTTGATTCGGCATTAGCTGCTAATTTATTAAACACTAGATCAGTGGTCCCCACAAGGGGGCGTAGACATTTTTTTTTGAGGGGGCGTGAAGCTAATTAAAAATGAAGAAATTTGTTAGATTTGATCCTTCCCGCCTTATTTTCGATATTTTTATTTTATTTATTGTTTACATTACTTTATCATGTACACATATTTTCAACGCGTTTTCTAAAACATACATTCGCCATATTATCTTTTATTTGTAGGTAGCTTATCGTTAGCTAGTTATTTTTAAGGTGGGACGTTAGACCTGGCAAATTCTAAAAAGGGGCCATGGCTTAAAAAGTTTGAAAACAACTGCACTAGATATTTAGCCTGGGACGCCAACGTGGCTAAAGTCCATTGCTCCAACTACTGCGTCATCGCACACGCTCTTTTCGTCAGAATTCAGAAAAGTAAGAAACCACGGGTATTCTCGCGGCTATTCCACAGTGTGAACAGGTTTCGAAGCTGAGAAATGTAACAACAACTTTCGACGCGCGATGGTGATTAGATACACAAACATACATTCTAATACACAAACGAGGGTGAGAAATTACAATGCAAAAAATCAGAAAACTCATTTCAATTCGTACTAAAACAAAATTAAAAGTTAATACCTATTCAGACGACCTAGATTTTCGATTTTGAGATTTTTTTATATGATGCCAATCCCACATTGTATTTCAAACAATGCCTTGTACAAGCGGCGACTGATATCTAGTTTAGACAGGTAATCCCATATCGACAATATCTTAAGGTAATATTACCAAGTAGGTTATTCAGAATTAGGTTAGTCAGCCAGTAAATCGTATTTTGTTCATCACAAAAAATAACAAAGGGCACAGAAAACGAAAACATAAAATAAATCAACTTTTAACGTTGTTTAGGTGACAGGATTTTTTCGTGTATTAGCCAAAGATGGGCATATCTTATTATGTATACGGGCAACTGTTTTCACCAGGAGTCGCAACTTTTTTTTTTTAAATTCCTCCTTTCGCTTATTTTGGAACATTTTAGCCTCCTTCATTATGCATAAAAACAACTTATTTGTTCAATTAAAATGTGTACATAAATATGTATTATATAATAAATAACTGAAGAATATTAGTATCACTACAGCATATACAAAAGTACGTCAAAATATTTTCCTGAAGGGAATTTTTCCCCGGTTGGGAAACTTGGGTTTATATTGTCTTCACTAATATTATAAGATTCCCAGACTTGAGCCAAATAAGGACGCTGTTAGGCAAATGACTGTAAAATAATAAACGATCGTAATTCCCAAAACTAATGCGAACGATTTTATCGCCCGGTTGGTCGCCGATGTTTCGTCATCACATCGTTAAAGCTCAGCTGACGTACGAGAGACAATTTTGAATATTCTCGGTGACGAAAGAGAAAAAACGCCAGTTATAAACATTGGTTTAGCGCTTCAGTTGCAAATCGGAGTATCGCAGTGATAGCGGTAGCATGTGGTAATCCAGAAAACGGTAAACGTCACTTTTGCTAACGAGTTAGGATAAGATAGGATTTACATATTTATCACGTAATGATATTATGATATAATTTATCAAGTAATGAAAGCCGATAAGACAGTTTAATCATGTGGCAAACCACGGCCTCTCGTCTGTTTACCAGTCAATGTCGAATATGTGATTAATTAGCCTGTTATTTGTTTTCGAAAGCATGTATTTGAGTTATTAGAGCTATTCTCTGCATCACCCCACCAGTAAATTGGATCGGATCTACTTATATCAGTATCTATTATTAAATTATGTTATTTTACACAGAAATTGTATTTAACTTGCGAAGCACTAGGTTGGCGAAGGTAAGATGACAAAAGCACTTACAATATTCCGTCGAATGGTCACGGCTCTTGCCTTTCTGCGGAGAAGCGGTCAGTTGGGCTATCGTTAGGTTAAAACTTCGTTTTTATAGCGTTATATTAAAACTTTGCACAAGCTATAACTCGGTATCAGTGAGACTGTGGAATTCTAAGTAATTTAAAGTAATTGCAAATGATAGAATTGTAAAAGAGATAAAACTCGGAATATGCATCAGTATAATTTAAGGCAGGGAAGGATTTGAAAATATATTAGCGGGAATATGAAAGAGTCTATATGACAAACTGCGGTCGCTGATTCGGCCTGATACATCTAACCATTTAATCCTCTATGTCGAGGGTTGAACAAACACGCAACTTACCAGCGGATGTTAGGATGAATTAGGCCAACCTTCAAAACAGGAGCGTCAGTTACAAATGCCTCGTCGAAACCGCTGGCCGCACTTTTATTCAACATAATATGCTTTCTAGCAGTTGTAGGCATAATAATTTTAGTTATTGAACTTATTATCTACGTAGTTTGTTTTTCACAAGCTAGCTGTTAATGCCTTTTAACGTCATAGGCCTAGATAATAAATTGGATTTCAGTATAGGCTTTGCAACGCAAAGAGAATTAGAAGTACTCGCACGGATCAGATTGAACTGCGTTGAAAACTTATTTCACGGGCAGCACACCATTCAAAATTTTCACTTCTCTGTGGGCCGCAAATTTTTTTCCTTGTGGGCCGCATTTGGCCCGCGGGTCGCAGCTTGCACACATCTGAGTTAGGCAGTTATCAAAACATAAACATCTTCCACGGGGTCAAACACATGATCCGATTTCGTCTGATTGCAGAAGTTAAGCAATGCCGGACTCGGCTGGTACATGGTGGGTAACCGGCTGAGGATACCGTATTGTAGTTTTTTGACAACCGCAACTACCGCACAGCTTAGAATCTTGACGAGCCTCAAATCTCATAAACTTAGCATAGGGTTTCGGAGCCGTGGTCATGACAATCTTGTTCCTGGCGCTTACTTGGATCCAACTAACCGTACTTAGGCTCAAATCCATTCCAACAAATTCAACGATTACAAACCTTCGTTATTCAAAAAAACTTCAAACATTACAGATACCTAAGCCTCGACCTCTAAGCTGTAATCGTGACCTTCATAATCCTACCCCGCTCTCTTCGGTCGAAATATTTTTTAAGTTCATGTCTGATTTTCTTGGGTATTAAACATGTATTCGATATTTTTAGATCAACTTCCTCCGATCGTATTTAAAACTAGACAATGTCTCGAATAGTTGTTGTAACACTGTTCATAGCATTGTTATTCTGTGGTCACGTGCGGTCACAGTTGACTGTGGTTGACCCTCCAATTATGCAGATTGCAACGGGTGGAGACAACAACGGGAAGTCTAACATGAAATATGACGTAAAAATACGGAAATATACTGTCGTTCGAGTCCCTGAAACGCCGCCCTCGACAACAACGGAAATATCGACAACCACAACAACACCACCTCCGGATTTAGATGTGAACCATATTGAAGTTCAGACTCGCTCGACTTTTGAAGAAAATTTGCTTGAAGAAGGTATGCGATTTCACACCAGTTGTTGTTTTTGCAAAGATTGATTTCAGAAAACATCTTTCGCGAATGGCCACATTAGGACCGGATCTTTCGTACAAAGCCACTAACGCAAAAATGTGACATTTGAGAAAAATACCACCGCCCTGTTTCAAAATAACAAATTAGTAATTGTCCGGTTAGATTGAGGAATAATTTGAAATTTTGAACTTCCAGCGCAATATGCATTCCTATAGTTCTCACCCTAACTGAATAATTAACAGTTTTCTTATTTTGAGCGGTGTTGTTGGGTGTTTTGTTTTTGGCGGTTGCTTTGTACAAAAGATCCAAGTTAGCCTGCCTAGTTACTTTTAGTTAGAATTTGATATTTAAATTATCCCAAGTTGGAAGTCTCATGTGGGCGATAGCCTATCCATCGTTGTTTTATGCACCTAACTATTTACAGTTATAGAGGGTATTATGCTCTTGATTTGCCTAGTTTGGATTACTGCCTATTGATAAGCCACCCTTGCATGCCTGCTACGCTCGTTTAGCTAATATCCCGAAATGACAAACTGTTTTTTCTCAAATTGATTTAATCCAGATGTCAGTCACATGCAGCGATCTTACAAACAATAACACATAACCAACTAAGTAGGCACAAGCAATCATATTACATAGCATGGATATATATACCAGTTCACTTACATTTAAATGAAACTTCGTCAGAACTGATAATCTTACTATATAAGAAACTTAGGAAATAGCCATTACTTAGCTTCGTGAAGGAGACATAATCATCGACAAAAGTACACCACATCAAAAATCTATCGAGTAATTAACTAATTATCTACTGAAATTTATTAGTAAATCAATTAAATGTACAAACCACAGGCGGCCAAATACAAATCAAGTTCTTATAACTAAATATGAAATCATTTTAAATTCTTTGTCTTTAATTTTTCAAGAATTCCGTGGTGTTTCATATTCCCTATCAAATAGGTCACACTACGAATATTTTGCGAAATTGTTAGTATTCATTACGCCCTCAACATTGACCTTATTTCAGTTTCGTTAGTTAGTGAAATCTCTCTCCTTATTCCGACCACAAGATCCTAAGACACATGGACAATAGTGTGTTTATAAACAATATGATAAATGAATAGTCAATGTCGAATCAAAATGAATCTGGCTCTTCAAAAAAGAAGAGTCTCTTTCATATCGTTAGATATCAGTGGCGCTTGTACAGAGATAAATAGGCATAGGATAAAAACCAGACCAGATAAACTGACTTAACTGTAACTTAGTATAGGCTACATTCTTTATTATATTATTTGCCACTGTTGATTAGGTTATTAGAATTTTCAACAAAACTAACTCTTTGTTTTTACCAACCGATAATTCAGATAATTGGGCTTTATTTTTAAATTTATAAATCACGGCCATAATGGATTTGATTTAAAGTTTTCTTTATATCTCATAGATCACGACTGCGCTTTTACTTTCACTCTGCCGAATCCTCGACCCAGTAATCAACAAGTTTGCGTAAGAGACGTCCGTGCCTTGATGACGTCATATCCAGAAGAACGACGCAGTGGCGACGAAGAAGCTTTGAATACGTTACGGAATGAAAGTGAGAATGTTGTTATTTAGTAATAAATTGGGGTGGCTTTTTTTGTTAGAAAATTCATGGGTGACCCCCAAAAAAACATAAATTGTTTAATTACTTGTACCAAGTAAATTTATTGAACACTTGAACTTCTGTTTGTGTATGCTTGTACCCACAATTTAAGGGAGCTCCAGAAGTGTTTGTGCCAATATGGAGGTAACTAATTTTGTTCGCCTACTTTACATAAAGTTGTGTAAAGGGATTGAAACCTATGGGCAGGGGATATATTCACTTGGCTAACACAGATAGTCCAGAACTCGTAATAGAACAAAAATGAGGAAAATCGAAATAGAATTATGGCCTAACCCTAATCTAGTGCACATACCACGGGAGTACCAATTGAGGTAATCTAGGACTCTCAGAACAAAAGTTATGTTTTCCCTGTCTGATGTACTAAATTCAAACTGCTGCATGTTTTTTCACAATGAGAGATCGCTACTCATCCACGGATGAGGTTTTTATTAACTTTGTTTATTGTATTTCAGTCTCTCTATGGCAAGAATCCATGGGGGATCTCAAAACCCAGATCGAAGAAAGATTAGCAGTACCATCCTTGGAACCAGTGCGAAATGATGTAAGTACGACCTGTTTATTTGATTTTAACAGCAATACACGCCATGTTTTTATAAGTTACTGCAGCGGTTCTCGAAGTTCCATGACCTTTGACCCTTCCAAAGACTCTTAACACACCGTGGCCCCTGCTCTTAAATAAACAAACAAATAGTTTTGCCTTCAAAAAGTTAGAATTCTGAACACTCCGTGACCCTCTGCTCTTCAAAAAATACCTAGTTTTGTTTTGACAGGTTCACATCTGTTACTTTATTTTTCAGGTTTGATAATAAATAAATTACATTCGAAGAATTAAATTATTCAACAGTCAAATTACTTATTTTAGTCATCGCAAATGGTACCTATATACCTAGTGAGGGTCTTTTTTGTGGGCCCTAGAAAGCCGCTTCGGAATCTTGGGCCCTGTTTATGAAAACATGGCTTAGCGGATTCTGGTACAAAGCTTTATTATGAATAGATGTTTGAAAAGGCTTAAAAATATCATTTTCATACCCATTTGTTCCTATTTCAAAAATAGCTCCATTTAGGATGACTTGCACGATGTAAAGGGCGTGAGTGAGCGTCGCTTAATAAAGAAAATACTCTAATTCCAGATGTCCAGTAGTATGTTTACCAGATTATAGTTATGCCATAATTTTATTCCTATTTTTTCTATTTTAGTTATATTAATAGTTCAGCGACTTTTGTTTCAGCCAAGTGAATATCCCCCCGCCCATAGGTTTCGTTTCCTTTACACAACTTGATGTAAAGTAGCCAAACAAAATTAGTTACCTCCTTCTTGGTACACGCACTTCTGGAGCGCCCAAAATTTCACTCTATATCATATTTTACAGGTTCGTTTACTCCAGAAAGAATCTCGAAATATGAATTTCAGGATTTCTCAACTTTACATGCAGTTGTTGCATGAAATCATTAGAAAACGCGACGATACGATTGAGTATACTTCGGTTGAAAATAGCGTCATGAATGTGACGATCAAGTATTACGAATTAAAGGTTAGTGTTGGCTTATGTTCATTTCGTTTCGCTATTTTGTGTACTTTAACTCAGACGTCATCCTATTTGCTTCTGAGTGAGTGAGCATGACTTTGCTTTGAGATTATTTTGTTATCAATATTTGACAATCTCTTGCGTGCGAGCTAGAAACAACAATAGTTAATTATAACCCTCAAATGTACTATGAATCAATTATATATCAATTTTGATAATGGCTTAAGTTCATTTCGTTTCGACTTTTTGTGAAATTTTACTCCGAGATCACCTCCTTTGCTCTTGAGTGAGTGTGCTTTGAGTTATTTTATTTGACTAATTGAAGCGCTCCGAGTTCATAATGTCAGAAAAAGCTACGCGCAAATAAAATACCGATAGCTCAAGAAATACTACAGGTAGATTTTAAAAAAAATTAAAAAAAAAATAACTAACAATCTTTCGCGTGAGAAACACCACAATAATAAAGTATTATCCATCGATACACTGCGGTTCAGTTATAAATTTACTGTTGCGACAAAAATGGTGAGAAATATTCGTCGTGATAGTCCTGATGCTTTTTAGGTTAATATTCATAAATGTCAATAAAAAGCTATATACATTGGAATATATCGAAAGTGGATAAAATAGACTTCGGATATACTCTCGGCTTAAAAGAGTTACAAACATAGTCTGGAGCAGGGGTGGGCTATATTTTTGGACCAGTGGCCTATTATTTCAATTCCCTAGACTGGCGTGCCATTTAGGTGTGACGTGAAATGTTGCATTTTATGAACAATATTTATAGTGTTACCAAAGCAAAAGTTGAAAACCATAAACCCCGTGCGATAACTAAATTTATTCGCAATCTCAAACAAATTCCTTGAGCTATTTTTTTTAGCTGAAACATCAGAATTTGGTTTTAGTTTGCTTGTGGCAGCATTAGGCAGGCCAGACAGAAGTACCAAACGGGTCGGATTTGGCCCGCGGCCCGTAGTTTGCTCATGTCAAGTTTAGAGGTTTGTAAACTCGTTTGGGATTTTTTCTCTAAATACTGAACACGTATGTTTATATGTTAATACATTTTATGTAAGAAAGCTCATACTAGCTCATACGCTCTTGAGCGAAAAATGTTTGACACTTGAATATTTATTTGCGACACAAAGATGATAGTCAATATTGATTGAGTCAAGATTTGAAGCCGTTTGCGTATTTGCTCTTAGAAAACAGATATTGGCAAACGAATTCACCAATGATTAAGAAAAACTTCAGCTTAGCTATGAAGACATATACATATACACACAGAGTTACAAATTTTGTAAGATTTATTAACGAAATCGAGTAATACTGAACAAGATATGCTTAAACGAATTTCCCGAATTACAAGGAATCTCTCAACCCAAAGATACATGTACACCCACACATTGAATTGAAAATTTGTATAGGATATGTTTTTCACAGTCGACTAATACTTAATATGAATACATGGATTTATTTTTTTACCAATTTTACATTCATGTTGAAATACGAGTGTATCAACACGATGCTGTTGCCAAATCAATTTCGTCACATGTTTCAATATTTTGTAAGGAGAGCCTCATTGTTAAATGAGCTATAACCCCAAACTAAAACCACGAAATATTTATTAACTGTTAAGAAAATTCGAAAATATTACTTAATTCTCACAATCATTCTTCCTGATTGCGTCGTCGAAACATTGACTTCTCGCCAATTAGGTTCCAAGGAATAAGCGAGTCTTTATGTTATGGCTATGTTGATATTATTCTAATTACTCAGCTGTAACCGCAGTTTTGTCGACGGTGCGTTCTTAAACCTATTGCTATAGAACCAGACTTTGATTTTTCTGTAAAATTTTTATTTACCGTGCTGTATTTTAATTCTGGTTTTGTTGACAATACTATCTTAAACCTACTTTAATATGGAACATATTTTTGCTCTTCTTGTAATCAAATTACTCTGAAATCGAGTATATTTCACAATATTTTTATTAGCATTTGTCGCAACAGGATATTAGGTTCATGACGATAGACGTGCGGGTTTTGTATTTTGATTCTTTTGACATTTAAGTCGGACATTTTAACTAGAAATATTTTCAAATTGTGGTTAAGAGTTTATTAAAATTTGGTTGTCACATAATATGGAACGTGATTGAAGTAGAATACATTTTTGGCGGTTGGTGCTTTCTTTTTTTCTGTATGGAATCGCAGGGTGGCCGACGTCACCGCTAGTCGGTTATGACGTACCCCACCTCACGATCACCAAGCACCAAGCATCTCAAGTGATAACTGATAGATGGATTTTTGGGTACCCCCGTAGTGTGTGTATCAAGTTAGGATTAAAGCATACTTTTATTCCTATTTTACTCAATTTAGTTCTATTACGAGTTTGGGCATTGTCTGTGTTAACCAAGTGAACATGCCCATAGGCTTCCGTCACTTTACACAACTTGATGTAAATTACGCGAACAAAATTAGTTACCTCCATGTTGTTTGTTACAGACACTTCCGGAGCACCGATTTTTGTATAATATGTAACTAGGGATGTCTTTATCGTTTTTGTTTCGTCTCCGTTTAGCGATGTATTCTAATAGTTTTTACGATTTCGGTTAATCGTAATTTAGAAAGTTCGTGAAACTTTGCGACGGTCGACATGTTTCCCCGTCGCGTAGTTCAAATTCGGAATCAAAAATTTCCATTTAACGACTTCAGAAACAAACGCCGGGAACACGCAGTTTGAAACAGCCTATTTTTTCAGCGGATAGTGATTTTTCTGATGCGCAAAATATCCAATACATGGCCGATAGGAGCTTTTGAAAAGTCTTTCCATATTAATTTTGTTAAACGTAACTCGAAGTCGCAATGACTTACGACAAAATAAAAGCACTCTACCTCGTATTCAGATATGAACATCCCGATATGTGACGTATAATTATTCACGTCGTTCGCACTGATAAAGACCCTGTATAATCACCCATTGATATCTAACGATTTGTCGGCAAGTGGACGGGAGAATTGGTCTGCTTTGTTGCTAAATCTAATCGGTTTTCTCTCCACAAAAATAAGCAAATCTCAATTTTATCATATTCTCGGTGAAAATAGCTTGGAGAAATACTGCAAATGCGACCGAAATATCATTTAGAAAGTAAAAAATGGTTGAGAACGGGCGTAGTTTTTAATCACTTGTCTATGGAAGCCACCAGATATTTTGCCTAATATATTGGAATCTAGCAATGTTTCAGGAATTCCATTGTTGAAAGCTTTCAATTATGTTCATCTGATGCAGTTTACATAACCTAGTAAAAATCACGTTGGCACTATTACCTTACACGATATTATTATGCGTACCAGTTATACTTGACATATTATGGACAGTAATGTATTTTACATAGACATATCATTACAGACCAATTTGGTTTCCAATTGGACATAATTTGATTTCACTTTCTTGTTCAGGTAAATTCCAATATCAGCTTTCAATGTATTGGTTACAAATTACAACGTATATGTGATTCCATGAACGTTTCATCCTGCCGTTCCTCGAATTCCACTAGGTGTAATTTGTCTGGTTGTGATTTGTCCTCATCCCGGGGGAAAGCATTTGAACATTCAACGAGGAATCGTGTAGTCTCTGTTTACTACGCCAGTTACAAGAACTATAAAAGAATAATAATAACAAAAATAAACAAAGAAATATAAAAATATGTCAAGGATATATTTGCAATATTTCTTTCAGGCTTTATATAACTGAAGTTGTGACATTTTTACGCTCTTCGAAACTATTTAATCTCAAAAGTAAACAAAGAAATATGAAATCAAGTTGCTAAGATGATCTTTTTTTGAAATTCTATATAACTGTAAGTTGTGACATTTTTCACGCTATTCGTAGCTATTTACGCTCCAAAGTGCACTTTCAAACAAACAAATTTTCTCGATCTATTTGTAACCGCTGACCAAAAAACGGTTAACCGCTCAATCCAATATGTCTATTACACATCACTTTCAAATGCGCGCATAAATAACATGTTGACTCACACGTCGAGTTCAGTGAGCAGTATAGATAAACAGGGAGTTCATAAAGTCTTGTATTGAGTTGGGTTAAAGAACTTTTGAGTTGCTTAGTGCAGTGATTCCCAACCTTTTTTCGAGTCATCCAAATCTTTTTAGAAATTTATTCTGTAAGATCTCGCGACCCAAGGACATGATCAAATACTAAACAGCATTTAGTACTCTTGTGGTCTCAAACTTGATGCATAATATAAAACAATCATTTTTACATAATATTTATTCAGTCAGAAATTACCCTATAATAGAAAAAAGCAGCCGGCATGGCTTTAATTAGCAAAAATAATGCCAAGTTTTTACGCATTGATACTTCTCACATATTATATAAAACAAACAATATTATTTACTACAAAATAAAATTAGTAACTTTCAGGTTTTTTGCTGAAAAAACAAGGGGCTCAATAAAATTTGTAGGCGACCCAGTTTTGAGTCGCGACCCACAGGTTGGGAAACACTGGCAAAGTGTAGCTAATGACGGACATATAAACGAAAATAGTTAGCAAATAAAGTTGTATTAAATGAAAAAAAATCTTACATAATCACCCATTAAAGTAAACAATCAAGGTTAAGACACGTTAAAAAACTGTTTTCCCAACTAAATTCTGAAATTGCCACAGGATTTTACAAACACTCTAGTTAAGCATCCAACCAACCAAAATTGCTGGAAAGACATTTTCTTAAAACTCAGTAAAGTAGAAACAAAATGATTGATTTGACAAAAGCGATGTGAAATTTCGCTCAAGTATAACGTTTGATGGCTCGGATCATTAAGCTACAAGTGTCTAAACGTGTTCCAGAGGTAATTAAGTCAAACACATAAAAATGAAAGTTTAAGTGCTTGATAGTATGTTCAGCTAAACCGAATTAGTTTACTGTAATTTTGCGGTAATTTATTATTGCCAAATCATAATCTTTCTTGACGCATTTTCTTGTCCTTTCTGCGAATAT